CCTCCCGCCTCAGCCCCCCAAGAGTGCTGGGATTGCAGGCGTGAGCCACCGCGCCCGGCCTCACCGTTGCTCTTAACACCACGTCACACTCTGTGTATTTTACTTTTTTATCGAGTTCATCGTTTCTCTCTGCAACTAGGATGTCAGTCCCACGAGGCAGGGATCTGTCCGTTTGTTCGACGCTGCATCCCTAGATACTAGAACAGTGCCTGGCACACAGTAGGGGCTCAATAAAGAATGAACGAACTGGCTTTGGAGCCCTGTCATTCTCTTTCTTTCTGTCTCTTGTTCGTACTAATGTCTCTCTCCTGTTCTTTCTTTGCAAACGCCTCTTCATTGCTTGCCCGTCTCTTGTATCTCAGTGTCTCTGTCTCTGCCACTGTGTCGGCCACGACAAAGACACCTCCCTGAGGTCCTCTTCTGTCTCCAGCATCAGGCACTGTTAACACCCTCTACAGGCCCTTGGCACGTGACAGGTGCTTGGTGAACGGCTGTGGACCCAACGCTGTGAATGGCTGAAAGCCTTTGTCTGTCCCCTGCATCTGGGTGCAGCCATTTTCGCCCTGAATCTCCACGGCTCTCTGTCTTGGTCTCAGCCTCAGTTTCCCTCTCTGAATTTCTCTGCTTTTCCTTCAGCCGTCCCTCACTGTCCATTTGCAGAGGCAGTGTCATGAAATGACTGTTAATCTGGACTCGATCCCAGAGTGCCGGGGCTTGAACCCCCGAGGCGTGGAGTAACCCTGGGCACTCAGTCGCCACTGTGGGATTCATTCATCCGCTCCGCAAAGATGGCGGGGGGCGACAATGCTGGCCAAGTGCCGTGTTTGTGGAAATCTCGCTTTCCCTGGGTCTCTGCCCTTCCATCTCTTGGGGCAGAATGATCTGCCTTTTCCCGTCTCTGTTTCCCTCTGCGTCTCTGACAAACATGAATCTCGCACTGACTCCACGACAGCACTGTGCCCAGAGACACTGAGGACACCGTGATGACTAAAGCGGCCCTGGTCCCCTGCCCTCCCGGCGCTCCTGGCGCAGACCCATCACTGGACAGTGACAAACTCATGAGCAGCCAGAGGGGTCTGGTGGGATGGGGGGCACGGGGAGGGGGCTCAGAGCCAGGATGGTCATGAGCACAGGCAGTGCCACCTGCAGTCCTCGCTTCCTCTCTCCACCCTTCATATAAGACCCGTCAACGAATCTTGCTGTCTCCAGCTCCCAAATCTACCCAGAACCCTCCCGCATCTGCTGCTCCCCCTACCCGGACTCTGGTCCTATCCACCACGTCTCCACCTGGACTAGTGCGGTCACCTCCCTGCCTTCCTACTTCTGCCCACCTCCCAGTCTGTCCCCTCACACAGCCAGAGGGACCCCGTGAACACCTGAGTTGAATCTCACCCCTCCTCTGCTCACAGTCTTCCTGTAGCTCCATTTGCCACAGAATCAAACCAAAGTCTTCGCTGTGGCCCACAAGGCCCTGCGGGACCCGGCCCCATCACCCCTCTTGGTCTCATTTCCTTCCTCTCCACCTCATTCACTCGGCTTCAGCCACACAGGCCTTCCCAGTGTTCCTCAAATGCATAAGATCAGCACGCTCCTGCCTCAGGGCCTTTGCACTGCCCCACTCACCTTGACCCTGAAGGGGCAGCGGGTCTGGTCCACCAGCATGATGTTCTCGGGCTTGAGATCAGCGTGGATGATGGCCAGCTCCTTGAGCCGGGCCAGGGCTCTGAGCACCTGCAGGGTGACCGTCCGGATGTGGCGGGCAGGGAGGGGCGCGAAGTTGTTCTCTTTCTGGAACTCGAAAAGGTTTTGCTCCAGCAGCTCGAAGACCAGGTAGAACTTGAGGGCGTCGTGGAAGAACTCGAGGAAGCGGATGACGTGCGCCTCCTCCGGGTCCAGGCCCCGCATGCAGCGCAGCAGCTTCAGCTCGTTCTTGATGATGCGGCTGCGGTAGGCGTCATTTTTGAGGATCTTGATGGCCACCATTTCGCCCGTGCTTCGCCGCCAGCCCTTGGCCACCTCCCCGAAGGTGCCCTTGCCCAGCACCTCGATGATGTCGTAACAGTCGGTCTCCGACTGGATGGTGGCCATAGTGTCCCTGCTGCCAGACACCACCCCGCCGAGACACCCGCACCACAGGCTCTGCCTCCGAGGCCTCCCGCCCCTCCGCCGCCTCCGGCCCCACGGGCCCCCCAGCGGGGGAAAGAGAACCGCACTCGTGCCTCCGCCTACGAGGCTGGCCCCCACCTCCCTGGCACCCCCCAGCCCCCTTGGCCACACTGAGTCTGCCAGGGGCTGCACCCCTCCCCCAAAGCCCTCTCGGCTTGGGACAAGGGGCCCGAGTCCCCCCAAATGGGTTCCAGCGTTGCTGAGTGGCTTTGGTTCTGTTGTTGGAGACCTGAGCCCCTGGCTGGAATGGGGGAGGGGTGCCAGGCGGGGCCCCTCCCCCGCCCAGTGGCGGAACCCTGGAGAGGCCAAACAAGTGAAGGGTCAGCAGACGGGAGTCTGATGGTGGACCCTGAGCATACAGGATGGGGACACACCGACAGGTGAGGAAAGGCAGGCTTTTCGAGCTAGAGGGATGTCGTGTGCATGTGTGTGTCTGTTTTCAGAAAACGCCTGTCCCAGCCTGTGGCTGCCATAGGGCCAGGTTGTAAAAGGCCCTGAATGCCAGGCTAAGGAGTTTGGACTTTGTTCTGAGGGCACTGGGGAGCCACAGAAGGGCTTTGAGCAAGGCAGGGCAGGGTCAGATTTGAGTGTCAGAAAGCTACTGTGCCTAGCTCTCTGGGAGGCTGAGGCGGGCGGATTGTTTGAGCTCAGGAGTTCAAA